CCAGCAGAGAGTTAACGACATTCCAGGCGATGAGCTGAGAAGATGCCTGACCACAGCCGAGCAGAGCACCAGGCAGGGACGTTCTGTGGGTCTCTAGTGTCCGGGGAGCACAAAGGAAGGTGCCTTGCCTGCCAGCCAGTGCGGCAGTGTCTCTGCAAGCAGCGCTGGTAACTCCAGACTGCCTCGTGCCTGGGGAAGCCCGAGGGGAAAAGAGCAGCAGGAGGCGCTCCATTCCCAAGGCTCTGTGCTCTGCAGGCGGTTAGTGCGAAGTGGCTGGGGACAGCAGGGTCTCAAATGTTCTCGGCATAGAGAAGGCTCAGGAAAAGCGGTCGGGTTCCACCGCCTGTTTTGCAGTGAGGACGCTCTAGGCCAGGGTCTAGTTGGGAGTTTTGTTTAGTGGGGAACCTAAGCTCTGTCTGGAGAGCCAGGCCAGGCAGGACATTCAGAGGAGGAGCAGGAATCCTTCCCAAGGCTGCGGAATGGGCCTGCTCCTTATGTGCTGCTCCCATTGTGGGAGGACGGTCTGACCTCTAAAGAAGCAGCTTTTATTACCCCAGCACCACCGGACCTTTGCCCGCCGACTGCCATTTGCTGCCACTGGTGCCGCTATGCCCTAGGCGTTATTATTACACTGGCGCCCCCATAGCCTATCTAGTATTATTTAACTGGTGCCCCACCGCTTGATGGCAGCTGAGGGGGAGGGACGATTTTTGTATTATCTTCAGCAACCCACTCATGAAACATTTGTAATGCACACTTTAAACCAGTGGTGTCCAACGCGCGAGCCATTCGCCACACGTGGCTATTTGGCTAGTTGAGTGTTGCTAGTTCGCTATAGCAGTAGCCACCACTGGGTCTTAATGTTCACCCTCGGTATGTCTAGACTACATGCCTCTGCCAACACAGGCATGTAAATTAGACTACCTGACAGGGAAGGCAGCATCCAGGGAGGAAGGGTCAAAAGAAAAATCAAAACACAGTCTAACTGGCTGAGGTGATTCCAAAATCAGGCTCTGAACACCTGCAAGTCCTGATCTCAGTTCCAGGGCTGGAGCCAAACTTTGAGGTTCTAGCTTTGTGATCCATTCTCAGGCCACGGGATCGTGGTTGGCCAAAGAAGCATGCAGTGAATCAATGATCCGCACCTATGTAGCACCTGGGCCATTCTTACCCATATGCAGAATGCGTAGATCCTAGGGGCTTAATGTTCACCCGCTGCCTACCCTGTTCTGTGGCTCTGCTTTCCCCAGAGAACATCTAGTTAACTTACAAGCGACAAAGCCTGCCAGAGCTACTAGCAGAACTTTGAAGAGCCATTCAAGTAGCAAGCCACTATAGTGGCTACTGCTCCAGAGCTGGCTGGACGCAACAGTTTTAAACTAAGGCCCTGTTGACTAACACAACAGTAGATTCAGAAAATGACCATATGGACCTGGGGTTGGCGTATGCCTGGGAAATGGCTTCATTACTACCTGAATGGCTCTTCAAAGTTCTGCTAGTAGCTCTGGCAGGCTTTGTCGCTTGTAAGTTAACTAGATGTTCTCTGGGGAAAGCAGAGCCACAGAACAGGGTAGGCAGCGGGTGAACATTAAGCCCCTAGGATCTACGCATTCTGCATATGGGTAAGAATGGCCCAGGTGCTACATAGGTGCGGATCATTGATTCACTGCATGCTTCTTTGGCCAACCACGATCCCGTGGCCTGAGAATGGATCACAAAGCTAGAACCTCAAAGTTTGGCTCCAGCCCTGGAACTGAGATCAGGACTTGCAGGTGTTCAGAGCCTGATTTTGGAATCACCTCAGCCAGTTAGACTGTGTTTTGATTTTTCTTTTGACCCTTCCTCCCTGGATGCTGCCTTCCCCTCTGTCTTTCTCTCTCCCATTTTGAAAGCTTCCAGTTTCCCAGCTTTAACGCTTTGTGTGCAGTCAGACCTGGCCCCTTCTTGTCACCCTAAGATCTCAGGCCCCAAGCTGGGTCAGTCGTGAGAGGAGAGGCCTCCGAGGAACATGCTTTGCCGATCCAGTGCTAACAACTCTCCACAAGCAGGTGCTGCAGGGTCCTGCTGGGGCAGTTAGCTTTGACCCTCTGTCTCATAATGGCATTGTGGGCATGGGGTGGCCAGGACCCGCAGGTATTTGTGACATGCCGTGTGTTGTGTGCACAGTACTGCACAGTGCACCTGCACTGAGCAAGCGCCTTTGTGTCCACCTTCCTGTCATGCTGCACCATGGCAAGATGCACAGCTCACCCTTAGTGACAGCTCAGAGTAAAGGGCTGCATGCCGGTCTGGGAGCATCTAGTGGGCTGGGCTGGGTTTGGATTTGCACGTTCCCCCTGTTCAGAATGAGCTCAAGCGTTAATTAGCTCCATGCAGACTTTAGTTGAATGGATAAGTTACAGAGAGACAGTGGAGATGGGGATCATGGGGGCTGTTATTGAAACACAGACAATGACAAGCTAGCTAAATCCATAACCATGGGAAGTCATCTCATAGTGCACTAATTCTAGCAGAAAACAGAATACAAAGAAATAGCTCATACATGCGAGTGCCAAACATTTATTAGATTGAGTGAAAAAATCATTAATGCTTTTTTCAACAAAGAAATGGGTTTTTGACCAAAATGAAATTTTGTTGTAGAAAACTTTCGTTTTGTCTGGAATAGTCCAGATTTTTTTATGGAAGGTGAAAAAGATTTTTGTTAAAATGTTGGCTTTCATGATTCAGAAATTAACTTTGTGAGCTTTTTACTGAAAATCATTTTTGAAAACTGACTTTCCTCTCAATTTTTGAAAACTTAAATAATTGTTGGGATTCTCATTGAAAGAATAAATAAAAAATAAACAAAGAATGATTCCACAGAAATGTTGGAAAAATATTTTAAACAATTTCCTCTGAAAAATAATATGGCTCTTCAAAAAATTGATATAATATAGTTAAATATGTTTGTGATTTTATGAGAGTCGTCGTTAGTTATTCTATGATGGCGACACTTTGACAACCCATTTTTAATACAGCCAATACCACAATAAAAGAAATCAAAATATGGTCAATAAATAAAATGCATTTCTTTTAGTCCCGTGTCTGTGTTGAAGAGCTGGCTTCAAATATCCAGAGACTATGAGAAAGTTTGCATCCAGATTCATATCAGAATGTTGTGACTAGCCTCAACTCCAATTTGAAAGCTCTTAATAATTTAAAAAACGCAAAAACAAAAACCAACAACATGACGGATGCCAAAGGTATCAAAACAAGAGTTTAAAGCAGGGTACAGCTCTAGCAGGTTATTCTAGAACAGGTAGGTTCTGCTTTAGAAAAAACAACACGGCAAGTCAACCCTGCAAACACTTTAAAGGTATCGGCTGGCTTGGTTGAGAGCTCCAGTTGACGGTCTGGGAGCAGAATTAAGTCCGTGGGTTAGTGTGGTTCCCCAGGAGACATACGCAGCAGCAGAAGAGAAGATCTCACCACCCATGTATTGTAAGAAAGTAACATTCTAATGACATCGGAGTCAGGGAAGTAGGAGAGCGGATCTTTTGTTACAATGATACTTTCTACGAAATTAGCTCGGATTTGGTTAAGGAATAGTTTGGGTGCTAGTCGTTACTTCTATACATTTGCCGGGCTGTTTGGACACGGGGTTTTTCAAACTAAATAGGTGGTTGGTGGGCGCGATATGCTTTCCGTGTGGTCGGATTGGTCATATAAGTCACATGGCCCTGCACCCTGACTCGCTGACAAACTTTTTAGACAGTGTACGGAGTGGGGGGTAAAAGAGCCGAAGCGGCAGGAGGGAACAGTCACCCGAGGGAGCCCAGGGGCACAGCCAAGCGGGGCAGAAAGAATCGCAAACCAAGGACCAAGGCGCTTGGTTTCAGGCTCAGCTCTCCAGGGCTCAGCCCTGTGTGCGGGCGCGTCTGGACCCAGCCGTGCGGGGATCCGCGTCTCCGCTGACTTTGTGAGACCCACGCCCGGCCCCCGGGAGCCCGCAGTCCCCGTCCCCGCCGCCCCTGGGGACATGGGAGCGTGGCATGCGCCTGGCGCCGGAGGCAGGAGTCGCTGGTGGGAATCTCAGGCGGGCGGCCCCAGCCCGTGTCGCTCAGGTAGGAG